TCATGGTAGGATGAAAGTTTTAAATGAACTAAACTAGAGGGAATGTGTTGTTATAGAAATTTTGTGTGTGTGTGTGTGTGTGTCAAAAGAAGAAGTCCCACATTGCCTAATTGAAAAGAGCTCCTAGTGTGTAAATACAAAGGAATAAAATGGGTTAGTAAAATGAGCTTGGAGGAGAAGTGGGCTTACACACATGAAACAGGCCAACTTAGGGCAATCGCAGTTGAAAATAGCCAATTTGCGCCCCGCGTGAGTTCAAAAGGCATTGGATTTTTTTACCAAATTATTTTTGCAAAAAATTAAATAATTGACTAATGGACAATGTATACCTACATCATCAACCATTCTTTGGGCCTTGAATAGGTCCAAATGGACAATATATACCTAACTGACTAATTATATATATAATATAATACACATACACACATTTGGCCTACAATCCACCCATAACACACAAATTAGGCAAATTCCCATTTTTTTTATTTTCATTCTCATACAATTCCACATTCCTCATATTTCACATACCACTATGAACTAACCACATATACTCAATCACTAGCTTGCATGGTAATTCTCATCATTTATACTCATAAACACACAAAGCGGCTAGGATTTCAAAATCACACACACACACACATTTATATATACACATTCACATGTTATGCGTAAGTATTATTTCCTATGGCAACTTATACACATAACCACTACTTATATATAAATTCATTACACCTATCCTTACAAGGCTATATCGAGAAATCTCTATTCTCGGCCTAATTCCATCCCTTTCGTGCCACTACCACTAGAACCTGAAATATGTAAATGACTAAGGGTGAGATCAAAATTTCAGTAACCAATATAGTTCATTTAATGCCCATTAACACAAATAACTATGCCAAAGTAATAAAACCAAAATGTAGCATATGCATGTTTATCATAACATAGCTTTACTTATAACTTTTGCTTATACAAATCATTTTCACACATTTTCACACACTAACATGATTATCTATCCACCGATCCTCTAAAGCTCCCCAACACGAAACCATAGGATCTGTTGGATCAATCACTCATTAATCCAAGCACACTTTCGATGATAGAAACACTTGACCAAAGGTAATCTTTCCCACCTACAGACTATAGTTTCTCTCATCTCACACACTTAAGATAGAGGTGTCATTGACTCCTAAATGTACCCCAACCGGCATTAAGGAGTTGTTAGACTACCTGGATGTCCTATAATAATACTTCTAATATAGCGTTGTACTGGCTTACCCATAGTACCAGCTCGTAATATACTACACCGGATGTCCCATGGTGCCAGCTTGACCATATGGATTTATTCACTTACATTTCCACACACACACATCCACACATATCCTCGGTGAATTTCCACCCTTTATGATCTTGCTTTCCACACATGGTTTACTGCTTTTCCACAAATCTTAAGCCATACATATATATATATATTCATTCAAGCTAGAAATCCTTAAACTTTCATTTCATAAATCCATTTCATGCTAAACTCAATTTGATAGTAAAATCATGCATAAAAACATCATAAAATAATGATACATTTACTTTTACACAGTTATATGAGTTAACAAACATAACAAAATATGTGGTTACTTCAACCTTTCTGTTCAATAGAAAGGGTTACTCGTGTTCCACAACCCTATTCAAGTTTCTTTAGCTATCCAACTCATCACACGCAAGAATCTACACAATTTAGGCACCCAAAGTCAATAACTCTATTGACTAAAAGTGTCAATTACAATAATTAACACCTAATCATTGTCTTTTTCTCTATTCACACTCGTTCACACGTACTATAACCAGTTGCCACTCCATACAATTAAGTTAATTTAATCTTATAGTTTCAAAACTTTCTCATTCCAACTTAAACTAATCACAAAGTACTAGCTTAGACTCAGAGAACCTTTCTATTACTATAAGGTAAGAAATTATCTCATTAAAACTTTTGAATTCAATTTCTTAATAGTTAAAACTAAGAGAGAACAGGGTAAAATCAGAGGTTAAGGCAATACGAGACTTACTCGATAAATATCATCCTTTCTTCTAAAAACCAAAGCCCTAGCAAAGGTTAGCCTCCTTCTCCATGCTTGACCCTCTTTTCCTTTCTCTTCCTTCTGTTTCACGAGTTGTTCCATGTCCCAATTAATCAGAATTCTATACCATGCGTCGCGGTGTAAGGCACAGTGAAGGTAATCCTCACTACGCTTACACGCTTTACTTCGAGATTTCATTCTTTTGCTCATATCTATTCATATAACATTCTAATGAGTTAATACAACACTTCACTATCTAGAATCCTATTCCTATATTAATTCACTAATTCAATTCCCTAACTAGTAGGATTAGAAATTCAAAATGTTACACACACCATCAGTGTCTTTACATTATGATAGCTAGTCTGTAATAGCAATGGTTAAAAATAAGACCTTTAATGGAAAAAGTAGACATATTCAATTAAGACATAATATTATAAGGTAGCTACTCAAAGATGGGATCATCTCAATTGATTATGTAAGATCAAAGTTAAATCTAGTAGATCTGTTAACTAGGTCTTCAGGGAAGAAATTTATTATTGAAGCATCAAGGGGAATAGGACTTAAGTCTATTTGAAATGAACAATGATAACAGCCCAACCTTTGTAATTGGAGATCCTATGAACAAGGTTCAATAGGTAAGAATAAGTCACTTGTTAGTTCTGTTAGCATTGAATTTTTGTCCCTTCTTATGGCTTGAGAAAGTGTTAGAATGCATTAAATAAAGGATGAGTAGAAGCTCTTAATGTTTTTATAGTCTTTATGGATGGTGTATTCATTATAGATACACTTGATAAAAACACTTATACTAATGTAGAGTGGGGCCGCTCCTATGAGACTGTGGCAAAATTTCTAGAGCATTTGTTAAAACTAGGCTTACACATGGTCGATAACATGCAAAACCATCATTAATAGCAGAGACTATAGGGATATAATCCGATTAATAAGACCTCTAATACACACTTAAAATCTATTGGTTCAATAACAAAGTTACACTGACTTTTTTGTGTGCTAAGTTTTATTAGTCTAGGTTTGGTTCAAGTTGAAAGACACCAAATTCAAAGTGATTATTCTCCTTATGAATAACTCAAATGATAGTAGATCTTTTTGACACATGTGGGGGATTGTTATAAAAATTATGTGTGTGTCAAAAGAAGAAGTCCACATTGCCTAAATAAAAAGAGCTCATAGTGTATAAATACTAAGGAATGAAATGGGCTAGTAAAATGGGTTTAAAGGAGAAGTAAGCTCGCGTGCATGAAACAGGCCAACTTAGGGCAATCACAATTGAAAATGGCCAATTTGCCCTCGGTGTGCGAGTTCAAGAGGTAGTAGATTCCTTTTACTAGATTATTTTTGCAAAAAAATTAAATAATTATTTACTTAAATGAGCTTACTAGAAAACCTTACTTTTTGACTGATTTAAATTTAAATTCAAACCTTAACCATTTTTAGCCTTCAAGAAGATTCTTAAATGGATTTCTTTAATTAAGCTTCATTACTGTGTTGTCCCCTAAATAGCTCAGTGTTTAATGAAAATTATGTGTGCGTAACTGAGATTTTATACCGGTTTATGAGCATGTAACCTAAGCTTAATGGTCCATTATTCTAGTGGTGGAATGCCCAACGTTCATGTCCAAGACCTTGGCCTTTATATAGGCATGCACGCAAATAGAATGAGTATGCCTACCTCTTGAGTTTTCAAGGCTCTTCTCTCCTTTTCCTCTTCTGACTTCTATTATGTTCTAGTTCGTCTAAGTTGAATTGTTGGTGTTTGTTGTTTTGTGTCCTTGCTTATTTGCAAAACATGCTCATTTGATCCTGGAGAATTACTAGTAGCTGTACCAGTATGCCAGAATAGTTTTTAAGAGCAGTGTCCTTCGGCACTACTCAAATAACTTTCGTCTACCTCCATACTACCAATATGTGTCGTGATGAGTTAAACTTGAAAGACTAAATGATAACTCAGTTAAAAATTAAAGGATCAAATGATTACCATTCCCAAAATATAAAAAATGCTAACTAGTGGAACCATTAATGGTAGAAGAGGGCGATTTAATCTCAAGACACATTTATTCAAATTTTAAATATTTAGGAATAGAATTAGTGGCGGAAAGAAAGGGGACTAGCAAGGTCGTGCCCTCCCCAATTTTAAAAAATTTTCTTTATATTATATAGGTGTTATATACTTCCAGCCCTCTTAAAATTTATGAAAGCTTTGTCGTGTATATATATATATATATATATTAATTTCAGTCCCTTTTATTCTTAAATTCTGGCTTTGCCTCATAATAGAATTAAGGGAAAATAACAATAAAATCCTCCAAACTACATAAATAACAATCTGATTTCTTAAAATGCCATAATTCATTTGAAGTCCCGAAGGACATCTATGTCAATAAGTTTTAAATTGAAAAACCATTTTGCCCTTATTGATAAGTTGTAATAACTTATTCAATTCTTGTAATTTCTTGAATAAAAGTTGTTATTCTTTAGATAAAAGTTGTGATTGATGTTTGTTATTTTGAAAACTTGTTTTTTAAAAATAAAAATTACACCTTACAAGTTGTGATTTTTTATTCTACTTTTGCGATTTATAGAACAAAAATTATCATTTTTTTAAGTAAAAGTTGTGATTGAGGCTTGGTTTTTGATAACAGAAATTATGCTTGCCAAGTTATGATTTCTTATTTAACTTTTATAATTTATAAAATAAAATTTATTTTTTTAAATAAAAATTATGATTAGAACTTATTATTTTTAATAAAATAACATATTTTTTTTATTTTAAAATTTATATAATTTGAGAGAATTTTATTCTCACTTCCCGTGAAATTTACGCATAGTTGGGTGGCAAAGACATGCAACTCTATCTCACCCAAGCGGATAAAGTCGGGCGGCAAAGATCACCAATAACCCTTTCATGTTTTAATGGAGTTTCTATGTCACGTGGCATCCATGTGAAATCTTCCCTTCCTTGCCGCATTGCTATTCCCGTGCCTCTCTGGGCATGAATAGGTTGTCGTTGCATTCAAATTTCAGCGTTTCACGCTTTCCGGATTCAGCTGCTTGATTCACTCCGCTGTTGTCTCCCTGCTCTCTAATTTTGCCGTTCGTGTGTTACAATGACGAACGCCATGGGTCCTCCCCCTCTAAAAAACCCTAATTTAGCTGCAAACACAGAAACCAAATCCGCTGATAAACTCGCTCCTCCTCCTCCTCCTCCTCCGTCTCCTTCCTTAGGAGTTGCATCAGTAGATTCATTGAAGTCTGCTATGGGTCCTCCTCCTCCCAAAATTCCTCACGGTTCAAAGCCTGACTCGGTCCAGGCCAATTTGATTGCTGCAGATGGCCTGCCGCAGTCTGAGACGCTCCCTGAACCTGTCGAGGAGAACCCTGAAAGCTCTTCGGATTACGTAAGTGCGAAGTCTTCTCCGAAGCAATCTCAAAGCGTTGTGGCTCCGTATAAGATTCCTGCTTGGGGTGGAGCTCCTTGCCACGAGTTCTATCTTGAGGTTCTCAAGGACGGTTGCATTATTGATAAACTTCACGTGTAAGTGGTTGCATTCCTTCGTTACGTTCATGCTTCGAATAGAACATCGGGCTATAAATGACTATTATGACGAACTATCTTTGCCGACTAAATTATTGCACGTCTTGATTCCGGTACAGCTATGAGAAAGGGGCCTATGTGTTCGGGCGATTAGACCTCTGTGACTTTGTGCTTGAGCATCCAACTATTTCTAGGTTTCACGCAGGTATAGCGCATGCTCTTTTGGTTTTTTTCCCCTTACAAGAATCTTTCGATTTCTTCATTCTCTTCCTTTGTCACTAATTATGTTGCAGTAGGTTTAATTAATTAGAATATTAATTGACTAATAATTTGGTCGGCAATATGGTAACTAAATGAAAAACCACAAGCTGAACTGGTTTATTGTCAATCTGCATGTGCTGTCAATGGGGAAGAACCACGTTTCATAGGTATCACGCCAAGCATTCCGTACTATTTGATGCGAGACTTACGCATCCTATACCACGCAATCCCTATGATGGCATCGTCTTTGATGAGTAGATCTCTTATGGGGTGGACTTTGCGACACTTTATGCAACTTCCCCACCTTTAAGCACCTTTGGCAGGGAGCTCTTATCCATGCACTGTCCAATTAGCTTTGACCTTTGTTACTGAATGATAGGACCGTAGGAAATGCAGGAAACCCACCCTTGTCAAGGGAAATGAACTCTTAATGTACCATAACAAGCATCTCATATTTACTTTTAGTGGGAAATACACATTTCATGTTACCCAATCCACCTATTAAGTCGTGATATGGCTTATACTCTGTCTAACTCTACCATATGTAAACTAGCAAGGATGGATTGTGATAATTATCAAGTCAATAGACAAGGTTGTATTGTTTAGAACGTGTTAGCAAAGAAAAAATCAAGTTGAATGAGTCTAACAATGGTATGTATTATGAGTTTATGACCTTACATTTTTACATTCTTTGGCATTGGTTTGTTTTTGTGTTTATGCATTAAAAGGATTTGCTAGTTCCAATTCCTGCTTTATGTTATTATTTAGTTTTGGGGTTCATAATTTCCTCATGGAAACAACAAACATAATTGAAAACTTATTAGTCATTGCCTTTGTTCAGGTAGGTTCAGAAATCATACAAAAATGAGTTATTTGGTTAGTATGGGTTGTTCAGTCCTTGTTGGGAGGGTTGGGTCTTGGAAATTTTTAATGCCAAGACTGGGATCATCATTACCCTTGTGAGTATGTCAAGTTTTATTCAATTGCATGCTTCCTTGTAGCTTTTGCTTTTTATGTTTCTTAGTTCTAGCTCTCTTCTACTTTTATTGTTCTTATAATAAACATAGGGCTTTATCTTTTGCTGTCTTATGTGTTCTTTCAAGCTATTTTAAATGAGTCAACTTGTTCTTTCAAAGAAAACTGGATTTATGTTCTGAACATTGATCACGTCTTTTTATGTCTTTAATGAGAAGATAAAAACCCATTTGAGCTTTCTTCATTGAAGTAGCCAGTTTGATCTGATTGCTTGCATCTTCAAGAATTTGTTATTCATGAGATTACATATATTTTACTGGTCAAGCCACCAAGGAAGCATGGTTATTTATTTTTTTTCGAGTGCCTTGTGAAGCATGTCTTCCTGCAGACATCTAGAAGCCATATGATGGTTGATGAATGACTTTGTTTGCATTTGCAAAATAAATCAAGTTGTCCTTGATAGTTACAAATGTGAAGGTTCATTTGTTTTAGCCATGAATCTCACTGTGTTACTGTTTGCGATTGTCAGCTCTCCAATTCAAGAGAAGTGGGCAAGCGTATCTCTATGACCTTGGGAGTACTCATGGTACCTTTTTGAACAAGAATCAGGTATCACATTGCAGTTGTTATCTCCTTTTTTTTTTGTTTTTTTTTTTGAATAAGAAAAGTTTCCACTTATCAAATGGATCATACAATGTGGTTCATAGAAAGAGAGTGCTTCTTTTCATCATACACCAAGCCCCTACAATAAGGTGGTGGTTGATCAAAAGTGTAACAACTACCTACATTATAATTAGCACAAAAGTTGGCTTCTCCATGCATAAAATGGATGGTGACACAGAAGTTGGTTGTGCAGCTGTTATCTCTTTAAATATTGATACTACATAGTACATTCTTCATCCATGTGGACGCAGTGGTGGTGACTGGACATAATCTAGGTTGTTGACACAGTTGTTGCTGCTTGAAACTGAGTGAAAGAGTTTGTCAAATTCTAATCGAGGGATAATTGTAAATACACTTAATTAGATTACCATTGAATCAATGCAATGGTAAAGATAATTCCAGCACATGTAATTCAAACGATAAGTCTGTACATATATAGTAAAATACATCAAAAATCTTTACTGCCTCTAGGTGTTATGAGAATGTAGGGTAAGTCAAAATCTAATCTACTTATATTTATTAAATAGTCAACAATTTATTTATATATAGCTATCAGTAAGATATAAGAATTAAAGCTGTAACAATTAATTACAGCATTAACTAACAAAGGGCTTGGCCCAAGAGTGCATGAGGCCCAACTTCAAACAACTATAATTACAATTTGGTCGATCATTCATGTATTGAAGTTTTTGTTATAAAAAAAATAATTTCATTGAAAAGACTTGTTTATCTCATTGAAAAGACTTGTTTACTTCATTGAAAGATAACATATGCTTATTTATTTCTTGAGTCCTTTGCTAATGGTCTTAGCATAGAATTCTGTTTTTGACATCTAAAGAGGTTGGATTGCGCATCTATACTTATTAGTTCACTATTAGAGCTTTTTGTAATTTTATTGAGTTTTGAAATTTTCCTTGTTTCTTTAGGTTGAGAGTTTCATTAATTTCATCGTTTATTGTCTTATTTAATACAATTACTTCCTTTATCCAAATAAAAAATGTGCCTATATAATTAGCTAAATAGCTAGTTTTCCTTTCCCTTTTGACTAGGTGGAGAAAAACACATACATTGACTTGCATGTTGGTGATGTTATTCGTTTTGGATGGTATGTATCTTATTTTATGAAGAATTGTGATTTCAAAAAGTCTTATTCTTTCATAGTAGTGTTTATAGACATAGGAGACTGAATAACCCTAGGCAAAGATTTAGAATCTAACTAAAATAGAAACAAATGATGTGAAATAGAAAATCAATATAAATCCCTAAAAGTTAGTAGGACATAAATGATAATTAGAGCAGCAACTGTGCATAATTTCATGTGACTTATTCTAGGGTTGCAATGACTAGAATTAGGCCCCTATGGCCCTTGCCTGTCTAAAACTCCCCCTCAAGTTGGTGAATAGTTGTCAATCATTCCTAGCTTGCCTCTAAATTCTTCAAATTTGACTCTTTCTAATGGCTTGGTATAGATATCAACAACTTGGTATTAACAATAACAAGTGTTGGATGTGGGCCTTCGCCTATATTGGGCCCAGACCCACTAATACACAAACCTAAATTTCCTTTTAGGCTAACAACATCTATTTTCCCTTATTGGTCCTGCAATTAGTTTTTATTTTATAAGAGAGAGTTTAGGGATTTGATTATAATTTTTGTCTCTCGCTTCCATCTATATATGCAATCGAGTCTTATCAATAAAATACATAGAGAAAAATAGAATTATACAACAACAACAATAACAAGCTTTTATTCCACTAGGTGGGGTCGGCTACATGAATTGCAAGATGCCATTGTGCTCTATCATTTACCAAGCTTTTAGAAATATTATTAATTATTAATTAAGAGATCGCATTTAACAACTTCTAAGAGTGTTCTCTTAGGCCTTCTTCTACCCCTTTTAACAGGGCTCAAAATTATATGTGACTTGGTATGATAATTCGGATAGAGAGAGTTAGAGAAATTGAGGGGGCAGAGAGAAAAGAATAGAAGAGGTAGAGAGATTCTAGAATTAGAAATAGGCAATATACTGAATAGATCTCAATTTATTCATCAGCATAAGGAATACAATAGTCTAAGCTATTTATATATATCCACGCATACTAATTCCCCCTAGCGGGTAGATATTTGTAACTAACTAATGCTTTTATTATAAAAATATAACAATACCTCCCTCAAAGAGATCCTTGCCCTCAAGGATCAGTTACAACAAAAAGGGGAAACTTTTACTGGAATTGATACAAAGGCATCCGGGATGCTTCTTCATTTGGTAAGTGTTTCCACTTGACTAAAATTTTAGTGATGATTCTACCCTTCTTGTGTCCTACTATTTTTTACAAAATTTGTTCTGGTTCTATTGTAGCTGGAATTTTTGGCCAGTCAAGAGGTGGATGCCTTTGCTTAATTTTAGGATTAGGATATAGCTTTAATAAAGAAACATGAAAAGTTGGATGTATTTTGGATTCAGCGGGTAGTTCCAACTTGTAGGCAACAACACCTATTCGTTCAATGACCTTGTAAGGACCAAAATATCTAGTACTAGTAGCCAGCTTTTGTGTACTCCTTGTAGCTGCCGAAATTTGTTTGTATGGCTGCAACTTAAGGAAAACCCATTGACCAATAGCAAACTCTCGGTCTGTTTTATGAAAATCAGCTTTCTGCTTCATCAAATTGGCTGCTCGATGAAGGTGATGCTTCAAAACAGCCAACACAGCTTCCCTAGCTGAAAAATTGCTATCTAAAACATCCAAAACAGAATCATTAGGCAAAGAAGGACAATGAATAGGAGCTTTCTGATCATACAAAAGTTCATGTGGAGTTGCTTTAGTGGCTGTATGAAATGTGGTGTTATACCATCATTCAGCTTGTGATAACCACTTGCTCCAATCCTTTGGTTATTCCCAACACATACATCTAATATAGGTTTCTAAGCACCTATTTAGAACTTCGGATTGCCCATCTGTTTGAGGGTGATATGCAGTTGAAAGTTGCTGTTTAATTCCCAAAACCTGCAAAAATTCCTTCCAAAATTCACTCACAAATATAGGGTCACGATCACTTATAATTTCTGCAGGTGCACCATGTAGTTCATACACATTATCCATAAAAAGTTGTGCTAAAGAAGAAGCTTAATAAGGATGAGTAAGAGGAATGAAATGAGCATACTTACTCATTCTATCAATTAGTACCCCTATTGTGTCCTTACCATGTGATTTATGAAGTCTTTCAATAAAATTCATCGTAATACTCTCCCAAACTCGACTAGTTGGAAGAGGTTGCAACAGCCCGGGTGATGCAACAGCTTCATATTTACAGCGTGCATGAGTATCACATTGTTTGATAAAATCTGTAACATCATTAATAAGCTTCTTCCACCAAAATAATGCTTTAATCTTGTGATATGTAGCTTGCATCCTTGAATGTCCCCCTTGAGGGCTAGAATGTAACCATCCAAGGATTTCTTGTTCCAAAATAGGGTCTTGTCCCGCTACCAACTTTCCCTTCCTTCTTAATACTTCACCATCCCAAGAAAAATGGCCCCATATCCCATTACTCGCCTGAACCTTCTTCTGAATTTCCATGATGATAGCATCATTCTTCCAACTCTCTGACTTTACCCAGCATTTCTGTTGAAGAAGTGTCTAACACAATCTGCATTAATTGCTGTTTAGGAATTATGGAGAGAGCATCAGCTATAGAATTTTCATGCCCCTTTTTATACTGAATTTCATAGTCAAAACCAGCTAATTTGGCAATCCAAAAGATGTTTTCAGCTTCTGTCCCAGCAAATATTTCAGACTTTTCCAATCTGATCGAATAATGAACCTCTGCCTTTCCAAATATTGGTGCCAATGGAGCACTGCCAGCATCACTGCCATCAGTTCCTTCTCAAATGGAGAGTTATTGATGTCTTTCAGCCAATCCCTTGCTAAAATAAGCAATTGACTGCCCTTGCATTAACACAGCTCCCAATCCTACTCCATAAGCATCTGCCTCAACTATAAATTGTTTTGAAAAATCTGGAAGTGTGAGAACAGGAGCTGAAATCAGAATATCTTCAAGTTTATTAAATGCTTCAGTAGCTATCTATGACCGTTCAAACCCATTTTTCTTGAGAAGAGTTAAGGGCTTCATTAAAATCCCATATCCTTTGATAAAGTGCCTGTAATACCCTATCAAACCTAAGAATGCTCTTAATTGCTTAGCATTCTGTGGTTCCGGCCAATCAGCTACTACTTGCAACTTCTTTGGATTAGTTCGAACTCAGCCATTCCCAATCAAATGCCCCAAATACTCTACTTCTTTGGCAGCGAAAGAGCATTTACTTTTCTTGACAAAATAATGCTTCTCTTAAAATAGAGAAAACTTGCTTCAAATGCTGCGCATGGTCACTAATATTGGCACTATAAACCAAGATGTCATTGAAGAATACTAGGACAAACCTCTTAAAAATGATTTGAGAATGTCATTCATAGCCCCTTGAAATGTTGCTGGGGCATTAATTAACCCAAAGGGCATAATTAACCATTCATAATGTCTACTCTGCGTTTTAAATGCAGTTTTATGTACATCTTCTAGCCTCATTCGGATTTGATGATACCCAGTCTTTAAGTCCAGCTTTGTAAACCACCTTGCTGTGCTCATCTTCCACTAAAGGAATATGATACTGGTTTTTTATGGTCTTCTTATTCAACTCTCTATAGTCTATACACATCCTCCATGTACCATCTTTCTTTTTAACCAAGACAATAGGAGCTGAAAAAGGGGAAGAGCTTTCTTGGATAACCCCATTTCGAAGAAGATCCCCAACTAGTCCCTCAATTAGATCCTTTTGTGCAGCAAGATATCTATAAGGCTTCAAATTAATGGGATTAGTGTCTTTTTGTAGAACAATGGGATGATTATGACCTTCCCTAAAAGGTGGTAATCCTTTAGGCTCCTCAAATCGGTCAGAAAAATCTGCCAGAGTAGTTGCAATTTCTTTTGGAAGCTTTTTAGGGGCTTGAATTTGCAGACTTGTTGGCAGCTCTGTAACAGATTGTGTGAAATAAATTTGACCTTCCTGAGAGTCCTTCCTCCCTAAATGTTTTGATTGGACCATCCTCAATTGATTAGGAATGTTAGCTGGGAGCTTATGTAGCTTTCCTTCAGACCAGAAAAACATAGTAATGGTCTCATAGTTCCAAAATGCATTTTTAATGTTTTTTAGCCAATGTAGTCCTAGAACCATGTCATATGAATGTAGTTCCAAAATTTTGAAGTCAAAAGTGAAATCTAAGCTTTGCATGCGCCACCTGAAACCTTTCCACAGCCCATGTATTTTTAATTTTTGCCCACTAGTGAGTTCAACCCATGACTCATGAGTATTACTTGATTGCCACACTATTTTTTTGGCTAAATCCAGATCTAAAAAATCATGCGTGCTTCTGCTGTCAAGGAGAATTTAGAGCTGTTTTCTATCATAGTAACCCACAATCCTCATTGATGAAGTGCCTTCAATTCCTTCTATTGCATATAACGAAATTAAGGGTGACTCCTCTTTTGGACTATCATTATTTTCTGGTTCTTCAGTTGACTTTTCTTCATCTGTACTTTCTTGAATTTCAATGAAGTGGAGCTGCATCTTTTGTCTTTGGGGATGTTTATGATCTTCAGAAAATTTCTCATGGCAATAGAAGCACAAATTCTTGCTTCTATGTTCAGCTTCCTCCTTTGCAGTCAACATTTTAAGAGAATTACTGCCACTTCATGATAAAGAATTATTACTTTTAGGAAGAGAAGAGAATTTTCCCTTTTGCTGGGTCCTATTGCTTAAAAGAGCATTTTTATAAGACCAAGTGGTGGTCTGGTTCGATAAAAATGCAGTCTTTCCCAAAGTTGATGGAATTCTTGGAGCAGCGTATGTAGGAGTCTTTTCACTAGTCTTCCTTTCTGCCATTCGTTGAATCGAGATCTCCTGCATGCGAGCTAGCGATTGAGCCTCCTGAAGAGTTTTGGGTTTAAAAAGATGCCTGGGTCTTGCATACTCTTCCATCAATCCTTCAAGGTAAACATCAACAAGATATTCCTGGGAAAGTTGAAGCTTGCATGTGATGCTATCGAACTTGT